TTACAGAATAAATATTTACGTTAAGTTGTTTATACCAAAAACCTTCAAGTCTTTGCACGCTGAGATATTTTTGGCAGAAATAAATTTTTGGCTCTATAACTGAGATTTATAGTAATGAAAAAAACCAAAACATCGACAAAGTTTTCGAGACAATTTTTTTAACGATAGATTAACAACTTTTTTTTCTAACTGATCTACCAACAATTTGAATTTCTTACATTAGACTAAATATTTTTCTATAATAAGTCTTTAAAATAAATGTTTTATTTTTTAAAGTTTTCAAGTATTCTGGATTTGTTTGTTGTTGCATGTTTGTTCTTAACGTTAGACTTTTTTAGAAGCATTACAAAAATATAACTTTTTATTGAAAACTTGAATTCGAATTTATTTATTAATTCTTTCTGTTTTCTTTTACAAGTTATCCTTAATTTCTTGCATGAAGCATTTCAAAGTGGAATTTATTCGAAAACATTTTTAAGAAGCACTGAAATTCGCATTTTAAGTGGCTACCCCAAGGGGATAATATTGTCTACACGACTAAGTACGTTCGCAATAAAAATTGAATGCAAATTGCACGATTCCTCTCAAGTATTGCATTTGTAAATTGGCTTATAATTCCATGTGAATATCTAATCAAATAAAGTAAAATGCCGTAAGCTTTAAAATTTGGAGCGTAAAGTAAAGCAGTAAGAATAACTTCAGTGGAAAGCAAGAAAAAAGAATGAAGAATAGCGAGAAAGTACTGATAGAAAGTCATTGCAACCGATGATGCCATTTCTAGACGACAACTAATTAACTTTCATTTTAGCTTTTTTCACAAATGAAATAAAGTAAAATCCATTTTATATATCGCAGAAGTCAAAGATTATGAGCTTTATTTGCATATGCAGAAAATTCAAAAAGTAAAAGTCAAAGGTTACTATGTTTTTTGTGGTAATTTTTTAAAAAAATCAAAATGTTGTTAATGAGACATCATCACCAACATATTTAGTAGATTAAAGCAAAGACGGTAGCAAAAAATACTCATTCACTAATAAAATAATTTAGCATACCTTTTAAAGGACCGCTAATCTGTACAGCTGCTTGATGGGACATTTCAAGTTCATAATTGAGCTGTTTGATAAGCTCAATTGATCCATTATTATGTATTCGAAGATAATCCGTTGTAATCGGAGCCAGCATGATATTCTCGTTTGAATCAAGATTGATCTTCTGAAGGTCATTTCTTTCATATTTCAAAAATTTCAGTTCAGCCACTTAACAATAAATTTATGACTGAACAAAGTACGATTATGTTTGTTGAATTAAATTCTATCATAATTTTTACACTTCAAAGTGCTTTTTTTTCTGTAATAGGCTAAAAAATACTTTGGGCAGTAAAAAATGATGAATATCAGCTATAGAAGCATTTTAATAAAAATACTAACTTTTAAGAATACATATTTTAAATAATTCTTAGACTCTGTCAAACTTGAAACTTGAAATGCTCAAATAAAGTAATAACTCTTGCAAAATTAAATTGAAAACCAGACCGTTTTTAGTAACCCAAGAGAATGGTTTTCTTTTAAAGTTAACAAAATATCGTGCCCAAGATTCCGTTTATTTCTCAAAAAATGTCTGTCTGAGGTTGATTCTTGATTTCTTTCTGAATCTTTTACTTTATCTTTGAACCGATATTTTCGACCCATCCCTGTTCCAACCGAAATACGAACATTTGCTCGTGCTTCCTTCAAGTCAGTTGAATATCATAAATTTTATTCAAGTTCACATTTGATTAAATTTCTAATATTCATCGATATGATCAAATGACCAAACTAGTTTATGTTTAAAGTTATTACAATTTGGATTTTAGCAGTTTACTTTACTTTTCCTGCATATCATCTGCTAACTCTTTGTTTATCTTTGTTGTGAGCAATATGAATCCGCTGCAGTTGTGCTTCAGAAATTGAAAATTCTTCAACTTACTATTTTTAAACTCATACAGTCAACAAATTTACTTGCTTTAAAATTCTTTGTTTTTTTATTTTACATTTTTGAATTAACCTGTCCAGAAGAGTCCGTAGCAACCACATCAAAATGATAATGACCATTTGGTATGCCATGTCGACTAAATATGTCACCAGAAAATGGTGTAATATCAAAAGGTACAATTTCGGGATCAATTCGATATACGATTGCTCCTATTGACGTTCTACAAAAATTGAAATTTTGAGCATCACAGAGTCAATAACCTTTCAAAAGCATTCCTGAAGTATTCCTGTACATAATTAATAGTACAGAAGTGAGATTAAAATAAATGATTGAATCTTTCCAGCTGTGAAGTTGGTAATAAATTAATATAGAAGAAGTGCCCTATAAAAGCCTGCCTGCGCTATTTTCAGATTAGTGTTATGTTTAATTTTATTTTTTCTTATTATCTATTACTTTGTTTTTATCGCCAAAGTTGACTTCACCTGTCCTTCTCAGTGTCTAAAAATTTTCACCTGAAATTCATTGTCTAGCCAAAATGATCTGATCAAGTGATCTTAGCTTAATCTCAAGTAGTTTAAACTTTACAATTCAGATGACTTTTGCCACAGATCAACTGTCGGCTCTCAACTGATGTGTTTTTCTAAATTCTCAGCAACAGCTGCCAATCGTTTCCTTGCAAATGACCTTCACGAGAGGTCAATAATTAATACGATATCCGGCAACTTCCAACTATGAGAACTTTTTCCCTACTTTTTCTACACAGTTATTCATTCTAAATGACTATCAGTGCGAGTTCAATACTTGAAAGGCGCTAATTAGCTTTAAGTTGAGTTGACAGTAACAGAATATTAATTTGAATCTTTGTACCAGTCCATAGCAATTGCTTTGATTTAAAGGTCAAACTTAATAGGCACTTATAATATTTTCTTAGCTCAGCATGCTTCTTATTGTTATGCAATAAAAGTGTACAGAAAATACACGCAATAAAAACACTCAATTTCAAATTAATTAAAATAAAATTAATTATGCATTACATATTGTTAGCAATTATTGTTCATATTTCTATTTTAACTACTTTTAAACTTTCTAAAGCACAATTTTGCATTAAGTTAGTAAGTAAGTTTCTAAAAACATTGCTGTAAGTCTATAGAGATAAAAAATGCATTGCTGCAGCTATAAGTCTACTGGGAATAACTACGAAAACCAAATCGAATTCATTTTTTTGATAATAAAAGTCAAAATTACGTCGATGAAAACGGCTATCATCACTTCTAGTCAAACCAAACTAATGCATATCAATGATGAACCAAACCAATGCATGAAATTGTGTACTGCTTATGCAAAAAAATAAATTTTTCAAGATTTTATGATATTAATATCAAAAATTTAAATTTTTATGCAATTATTTGCTATCTATAGCAAATTTTATACGGTTATTTTTTTAAGTTTTAAAATTTGACCAAAGATTTTTAAAAAATTTGCACAATTTTCGATTTTTCGATTCAAAATTCAGGATAAAAGATAAAAATTTACTTATTAAAAATTATTCTTTTTAGTAATCACATATTAATTAAACTTTTTAATTTTTAATTGTAAATTGCTGATTAAGTTACTGACTTTAACTTTAATAGTATGACCTTTTAAAAAATCACAATCAATTTTTATAAAACACATAAGGTCACATTTTGCACAATTTACTGCTTAATTTTTTTCAAGCAAGCAGTACAGCTCAGAGACGCAAATTGATACAACTTTTGACCAATTTAACTTTACACTGCTTATTAGGAGAACAAATGCATTTCGCATTCATTTTAACGTCCTGTGAAACTTAATTTTCCATTTAGCAAATTAAATATTTGAAAAAAAAGAAAGTGAATTTCTTTCATTCTATCAAAGATTTCATTGAGAACTAAAATATTAAATCACATTTTAAAAATTTACTCAATCAAACTGACATCAAAAAATTTAAATAAATTGTGTGAAAATATCAAGTATTAAAATATAAAATCACGTAGAAAAAGACAAAGAATACTGTAAATTTCTTGACAACTTTTTAAATGTCATGACTTGTTATATATAATTCGACCTTATATCCAAAGTTTCACTCAACGAATAAAGAAGTTTAAAAAAGAGGTTTGTTTTTGTAAGGTGACAAACAACTGACTTCTTGTAATAGTAAATAGATTAAAAAGCTCTGAAAACTTACTTAGCCTTAACTCTGAGTACTGTAACATGAGGGGGTAGTCTAGCCACTTCTTTCAAATACTTTGGTCTGTCAAATTTTGGCTCAGTTGTAGATATTTGCTCAATAAATACGTCAACTCGCGCTACTGTTAAACGGATCAAATTACGCTTATCAAATACGCTAATATAAAAAGATTGCAAATTGCCATCGGATTTTTTCAATCGACGTGAAAGATATAGCTGAAAATTTAAACGAGATTGTTTTTAATACTTGACAAAATTTCAAATTTTGAGATAAAAAAATTTATAAACCAGAAATTGCTAAAATATTTTATATTTTTTGAATTTTAGAGTATATTTTACTGTAGAAAAGGTATGAAATGTTGCCACATATGAAAAATATTCTTACCTCAGCATAGTGCGTGTTTTCTTTTATCTTATCAACAAGTTTAAATGGTAAATTTGAGGAATTTGAAATGACTGAAATATATAAATCTGATGAATTGATTGCATTTACTATTGTAATATTGGGATCAAATGTAAGAGGCATTTCAGACGATGCATCGCTTCGAATCTTTGTGATATAAGTATGGGCAGAAAAGTGAGGAGTTGAACTAAAAATAAACGTGTTATTAAAAAATAGCAGTAAGCATTTAAATTTATCGAAATTTAATAAAGCATCAAAAAAAACCAATTAGTGTGCACACTTTTTTCATTTATAATTTTGATAATTTTTAAAAATTTTGTCTTATTAAGACAAAAAGTTCGTCGTACTTCCCAACAATATCCACGTTAATAACTATGATACGTTGTGATGTTACTGCTTGTACCACAACAGCCACAGATCGACCTTGTAAATCTTTAAGTGAACTTTTTGTGTATAATCTGAAACTTTGAATAAATGTACCTTGTTGCAAAAAGCGTTAAAAATTTTTTGACTACAAATCAAAATTTTGTCTTGCATAGAAAAAATTTTTTGATCATATTTCATTATGATTCCACTTGTTATTTCTTGTTTTTATTTTGCGCAGATTTTAATTACAAGGCTGTTAACAATACAATGTTTAATTAATATAGTTTTGCCGTAAAATTAAACCTATTATCAGTGATTTGAAAGTTATGAGATTGTTCTTTATCAGGTAGTGAACAGTGATCATCAAATGTAATAAAACCATCTTCAACAAGATCTGAGATGAGGAATCCGTTTGGAGCATCCCAACGAACATTGAAAAGCTTTGGCTATAATGATTACAATTAGCTTTCAAATTTTTCTTATTTTAATTCAAATCTTATAAAATGTTTTATATATTGAATAGCAAGAAAATAATTAGCAATAAAAATCGATGTAACACCTGGCAAAACTTTACTTTTTAGCTTTAATGAATACGTTAAAAACTGCTTTAATTAATCCATCTGTTGTTCAGCTAAGTTCTCATAAACCTTATTTATAGCAGCTTCATAGCAATTAACTTCCAGTGTTTGACTGACTATCCTGATTAAGTTAAAAATAACTGGCGAAATTATGAAGTAATTAACATTCATGAAAAGCAATGAGAAGAGGATATTTATTGACGGTGAACAACTGTTAGGCAGTATGCGTGTAAAAAGCATCCAATTAACCTTAATAGGAAAAGGAATTAATTGAAATACTCCTTTCCATTTTTCTAAAAACGATAATAATAATAATAATAATTTTTATTTTATATTTTTTCCATCAATACAATTAATTACTCTCACATGTCATATCTGATAAACTTTTTTAGCTCAATTGTGATTGTGTTCAGAAATTTGAATGTAACAACATATGGTGGCAATTATGTGCATCAGGATGAAATTATAAGTATGAATTTTGCAATAAAAAGATTAAATTAGCTTTTGCTTTGTATTCTAACATTATATTATTTTTCAATCAATATAATTACAAATGATTTTATAATAATTACTGATAGTATAATGTTAGTTACCAATGCTTTATTTCACGTACTTATTTATTACAGTTTTGTATTTAATTTGCTCAGTTACATTACAGTCATCTTAACTATCTGATCTTGCACTTTCACCCCTCACAGCAGGCAAAAACTATTCAATAGAATCTTTATTTCAAATCTCTGAGATATGTTCGAGTTTTTGTCAATATTCTATGACAAGCATTAATAAGAAATAATTTTCAAATAGTACCCCCCAAGCTAATCGCACTGTCATTCCTTAACGATTCACTGTATATGCAGGCAAATGTTTTATCACTATCTTATGAATTAAAAAATTAGCATTTATCCATTGAGACTACTTTTATTTAATTCTCATGTATTTAATTCTTTGTGTTAACACTTGAGATTGATGAATTTAAAAATGCAAAAATTTGAAATTCACAATTTTTAAAGATAATTTTCCATAATTTGACATATTTTGTGCATTATTTACCTTTTGTAGTAGCAGAGATCAAAATTTCTTTACAAGAGTAACTGCAACGAGGAAAATGAATAAATGATTGACTTGCTAATTTCTATAAATGTAAATTTCAAATTTTCGAACTCAGTCAAGCGCACTTTCTATTGACTATGAGTCAAATCCAAATGGATTTTCAAATGCTCAATGAGCTGATCAGTCAGGTCAGTTTGAATTCTTCTTTTATTACTAACTGTATAAGTGCCACTGAATTCAATAACTAATTCTTAAAAGACTGATGTCAATCTTTTACAGCTACTAACTTACATCTGATTTTCTAAAATTGTTCAACTCCAATCCATTTGTGAATAAACTTATTCACTAGCATTATTTATTCATCGTATATATATATATATATATATAGAAATCATTAAACTTTTTGTGATGTAATTAAGAAATGTCCTTGTAGGGTAAGTATTAATGAGATTATAGAATACTATCTCCCTTGTCTTAAGTACCAATCATCACTGACATAACCTTTAACCTTCGCAGAATTTAAGGTGCCAAATCAATCTTTAAAAAGATAAAAGATAAGATGATTTTATCAATATAATATACGTATAATTAACTTTTTCAATCAATATTTTTGACAGAAGAAAAATTAGACTAAGGTAGATATCCTCAAGGCGAACCGACGTCTTTTTTCTGACTTTTCAGTAACACTCTGCCGGCAACATGAGACAACTGATAACAGAACAAACATCCATCACAGTACACACATCAATCATATATTTTCATATATATATCTTCCCTTTCGTTGTATAAAACGTTTAAACCAGTCAGAGTTAAACGGAAAAAGTGATTTATTCAATCAAAATAGCACTAAAATGAAGTTGTGAAAACTTAAACATTTTCTTTTGAAACTACAAAAATTGGTTAATTATACCATTAATACAATAATTAATCACTAAATTATATGTTAACTTAATTTTGGAATTAATAATACTATAGCGCTGATTTCATATTGTATGTGAAAGGAAATATGCCATTATTTATAAAATATTTTATATTCAAATGTAAATTTCAATACAATGAAGGCTTTCTTTAAATGTTGTTATTGCCGAAATGAGTGCTTAGATTACTTGAAGCCGTATGAGCTACTAGCTAAGTTAATCCAGATAAAAACACATTTTCTTCTATTTTCATTAAAAAAATTACTATTTTTGGTTTTTGTTTTCGTATTTGTCTGAAAAGAATGCTTTTTCAAACTATCAATCTAATATTTTCCTTAAATTTTATGGAATTCTTTTTACGATTACAAATAGACAGCTAAGCATGGTAAATGGAAGGGTGTCCTTCTGTAATAATAAATATTTCTTACAAATTAATTCATAATAATTTGACTTTGATGATTATTTCTTTTAGTTAAATATTTTATTAGCTGTGCTCTCAGGCTGCTTTTCAGCTTATTAAGGCATGAAACAAGTAAAAAAGTCATTTATTATCAGTTTTTTAAATGGTATTTTAAGTTTTCATAATAAAAATTATATAAAATTATCTTTTCAAGAATTATTGCTCTTACAAATTACATTGCAGTAACTCACTAACAGAACAAGATTAATATATATTGCTATATATTAAAAAATTTTCACAAGTTTGCATTCTATATGATCATCAACAGTTTGTTTTGAGGTTATCATACGTGCTACCAATCCAGAGCTAGTGCAATTTGTTTTCAATATGTTTAAAATGTAAAAAAAAAAAATGTTTGTACCTTATTGGAATGATTACATCCGACTTCGTGAAAGAGTAAAATGAGGTAAAATAATGGAAGATACATAAAATCCGCAAATTTTGGCAACATTCTGTTGAGAGTTAGGAAAATGAGCAGTGTTAGGTTGATTTAAAAAGTAATCATCGGTACTGGCAGTGATATTTACGGCAGAAATGACAATAACCATTAATATAATTTAAAAAAGGTAATTCAAAAGCAGGAAAAGCAATAATTATTGAGAATTTATGGCAGAATACCACATCTCAAGGCACTACCAAACGATACCATAAGACTGCAAAGGTAATTCCACTATAGCAATTACACAATCCTGAAATCATTACATTTTATAAACTAATATTTTGCAGTGTTTAAATTATATCTGAAATATATGCTATTATATTGAATGAGTTCTAAGGGCAAATTTTAAAATATGAAGCAAAGTCAAAGAATTCGTAACAATTTGACACACATTTAAACTTGTCAAATCTTTCGCAGCAAAATTTTGACATGCAAACAAATTTCGTTTTTTGTATATAAACATAAAAAACAAGTTAGATTTGCAAAAATTCCAATTTGTTATCTATGTGATGAGTAAAAAGAAGAATTCAAGCTTTGATTTAACGAGAAAAATACGTGAATGTTGCTGATGATCAGTAATTATACTTGACTCGATCGGAGGAAAGTAATGCAGAAAGGCCTAGTAAAGCAAGCTAACATTAAAATGCATTAAAATGAAAAATCAAAAATGCATTCAATTTGAATTTAAAAAAAAAAGAAGGAATATAAAAAATTAAAACAGTTCAAAATTTCGAATATCTTGAAATAAATAAAATAATGCAAAGATTATACTCAAAAGTTAAAATTGGTGAAAATTTTCGAAACCGGCAGTACAATTTAATATGGTATCATTTTGTGAATAATTAGAAAATAAAATTACAAAAATTAAAAAACCAAGTAGTATTATGAGCTTTCACGAAAAAATATGAAAAACA